TCGGTACGAAAAAGTCTCGATTATCCATTTTTACGTTTAATTATTTTTCAGAAAATGTATTCCAACCCGCTAAATATCGCAGACTGGCGATGGAATAGAGAGTTGATAATGGTCTGAATAAGTTAATAAATGTCTAATTAATAATTTAGATAACATTTCAGGCCTAAAGAAAGACCTGTAATTGGCAGATTTGGCTCTTGCATAATGTATGTTTAACGATACAGTATTTAGGATTTAGATAACGAAAATTGCATTCAAATTACTCTATTCTGAGCCAGTTTATGAATTTTTGAAGATTAGCGTAGTCTCGCTGTTCACTGCTACCGTTGTTAAATTAAATTATTAAATGACAACCGTGTTTCAATCCATTCACAATCATTGCCACCCGATGATCTAGAGAGTTAATTATGGTTTGTCATGTGAATAAAGCTCTAAATAATAGTTTATATAACATTTTAGGTCAAACTAAAACAATGCAATAGACAGATTTAGCCCATGAATAACGTATCTTTAACGTTGAGATTTTGAATTATTCTGCTTTTTATTCCGTATCATAAATTAGGTGATTAATTTATTGACCTCGATTTGAGCAGATAAAAATAAAATGTATTTCAACCGACAACAGAGACATCAATAATGAATTGAATGTTTTGTCGGCCTGTATAAGTTTTTAATAAACGCGGCATTGATTGTACGTGGTAATGTACTAGCACAGAGGCATCAAAACGAACTAATGTAAACTTCAAATGGCAAAATCATTTGATAGAGCTAGCTGAGATGTATGTTTTATTGACCAGAATATGTTTTTTTTAAAAAAGCAGTATTAATTGTGTATGGTATTAAACTGTTACCTTTCTTTGGACATATTATTGTCCCTTGAACGCAGCGTTATTCTGACATATTGTCCCTTGAACGCAGCGGGGGGGGGGGGCTTGGATGGCCGAATATCATAAGGTCTGTCATTGAGTCAACTGGCGTTGTTTCGAATCCCCGGTTGTACGTGACAAGGAGTAGAGTAGCCTGCCCAACCTCGTGGGTTTTATCCGTGTCCTCCGGTTTTCTCCCACTGCTAAAGACCCTTACGCGCAAGCGAATTATTGCAATAAAATTAAACCATATGTTAGTCCCGAAATGACCTAGTTTGTGTCGAGTGGACGTTAAACCCCATTTCTCTCCCTCTTTGAATGCAGCGTTATTCTAACATTATGTCCCTTGAACGTGGTCAATTATCGACCTATATTCTTGAATAAGATAATCGGATCGGGATTTTTTTTAATAGAAATGTATCTATACCTGAGAAAATTGTCGATACCTGTGATTAGATTTACAGGTAAAATGATTTATAACATGTTTTCCCTTACTATCGTTCAATAAAATATAATTCAATATAATTAACAAGTCCAGTAATCTCTTTAATCTCTTGGGGGATTAAATTAACTGTTGATATTGACAGGTGAACTTAAACACGTGGGTTATTTATAGACATAGCCTACTCGGTTGTCAAGTGTGTTATTTATAGATCCTAGCCTACTCGGTATACAAACATGTAATATATTTATGATATAATGGAGAATAAAACAAAACGACAACATTCTAAGGACGAATTTTACAAATGAAATGAAGTTGGGTTTAACTGTTAACTACCTACTTTTCGGAACGGGCTTACGTCACGTAATATGATACGAGAGAGAGAGAGAGAGAGAGAGAGAGAGAGAGAGGGGGTAACGTCCACTCGATAGAAACTAGGTCATTTCGGTATTATCATATGGCTTAATTTTATTTCAATAATCAGTAATAGGTTTAGCAGTAATAGGTTGGACAGGCGATCATACTCCTTGTCACATATAAGCGGGGAATCGAAACCACACCACCTGACTCAAGGATGTGTTAATCATTCGGCTACCCCCCCCCCTCCCACACACACACACCCAAACCCCTTAAATGCAATGACAGCAATTTTTCACAAAAACATATTTAGGGGATAGTTTGCATTCTAACATGAATAAAGGGTATGCATTGAAAATACTAATCAAAGTACAAATAATATATATAATTAAGTTTGAATCCAGTTTGTGGGGCCTATGAGGTTATTTCAGAACGCGCAGATTTACGCCGAGCGGAGCGGAGATCAAATAATGTTTTGATTATGCCACGTGATGTTTTTGGAAAGTTAAATATTACAAAAAAAACCCCAAAACAATTCACTGCCGGAAATGTTGTTTCAATATTAAGTCATTTTAGGATTCGCCCGCAAGATTCAGCGGGGGGGGGGGGGGCTCATTCCATAAGATGAAATGAAATGAAATGGAGTTTAACGTCCTACTGTTCTGCTCCTTACCTGGGCTAATGAAGACGGGCATACGCCATACAGTGTGCTATGAGGGAAATTTTGCCCGGACAGCGGCACTACGGCCTACTCTTATATCGAATTCCAACTGCCAAGGAATCTTTTACGTGCACGCCAATGTGTACACGGGACCTCGGTTTTTCGTCCCATCCGAACGACTAGACAGCTTTCCTTGTCAGCCCCTCCGTCCTGCATCACTGACAAGGTGGAACCACGCAGGAAAATCTGGATGAACTTTCTCGGCCAATGCAGGGATCGAACACCCGACCTCCAGGCTAGCGAGCTAGCGTCTTACCCACTTAGCCACGTGATCCCACTTCCATAAGATGCCACTGATGAGTATTGGAAAGAAGTGGATATGGTTCAGATTTAATTAGTTGTTATAATTGATAATTTATCATTAAAAGATTTGATGTATAGGTATAAAATTATTTCTCGTGATTCTGTTTCAAGTTATTTCACATAATGTGTTCAACATTATAGATCTATTGTTCCAGTTGATCGAGTCTATTGTTATACCCGATATCCGTCCCTAACAGTCGTATAAACACACGTCATTCATTAATAACTTAATGGGTTTACATTCAAACATTAAAGCGACATTCCAACGAGAGATGGAGAGAGGGAGAGAGAGAGAGAGAGAGAGACAGAGAGAGAGAGAGAGAGAGACAGAGAGAGAGAGAGGTTAACGTCCACTCTACACAACTAGGTCATTTTAGGACTAACATATGGTTCAATTTTAATTCCATACTTCGCTTGCGCGTAGGGGTCTTAAGCAGTGGGAGGAAACCCACGATGTTGGACAGGCGACCCTATATTCATTGTCACGTACAACCGGGGAATAAAAACCACGCCAGTTGTTTCAATGACAGACCTCATGATACAACGCGCACACGCTAACCAATCGGCCACCCAACCTCCCCATATTTCAACGATAAATTGTTTCGGTGACAAGAAATAACATAATTTCTATTTATTTGCGAGTGACGTTTACACGAAAAGTTGTTTTCCTGGTCACCTTTATTATACTCGTCTCTACGGTATTTCACTAATTCTGGCACACCCGGGATACTGAAGAAGCCGTGTTGTGATACCTTTGCCCGGATAACGACCTACTCTTATTTCGAATTTCCGCTAATTAACAAATGAAAATATAAATTTAAAACTCGACAATATGTCTGTTTAAAGTTATGAAAGATTGTGATATATTAGAAACAAGGTTTGTTCTCTTGTGAATAATATAATACAATAGATTTAGTGTTTATCCGATTATTATATAATAAATAATGGCGGCGTGACAATCCCCTCTCTTCTCCAACAAACCATATTACCTGAGACCTGTCTGTAATTAGGGACAACAATACCTTCACGTTCAACCTGGATAAGATCAAACTAAGTATATGGTGGCTAATTACAGACTGTCGTCGTGTGGAAACAGGTTTTTTTATAGGTCGTCTAACTAATCAGATATTATTGTCAGCTATAGACAATATCTCGAGGCCGAGAGAGGAATATATCGTATGGTTCTATTATAACTGTCTAAACAATTCTATGTGATTCGGAGTCGATATCAATGACATTAACGATATATTGAAGCCAAGGGAGAATATATCGTATGGTTTAATCATAATTGTGGAGATAATTTTATGTGATTCGGAGCCCGTAGATAGGACATTGTGTATATTTTGAATCTGTGGATATCAATGACATTAACGATATCTCGAGGCCGAGAGAGGAATATATCGTATGGTTCCATTATAATTGTGGAAATAATTCTGTGTGATTTAAAGCCCGTAGACAGGACATTGTGTATATTTTGAATTTGTGTAATTAGTAGTAGCGATACGGATTCGATCCACTTGGAGATTGTCTTATTAATTATTCTGAGAACCTGGGCATTATTTAAAGTTGACAGAAATCCCTTTATGTTTTCAACTTGTAATGAACATTAGGTTTTTAATAGCAAGCTGATGGTGTATTTAAATTGTTGTTTTGTTTGAGAAGCTAGTCAACGAGTAACGGGAGATATTAACACAGCTGTTGTATATTGTGTAGTCTATATTAAGGAATCTAATTTTAATATCGTGAGTGTTTAATCATTGGGATAGTGGATGTTAACGAGAGAATACAACCTCTTATGTTTGTCAGCCGGTCGTCTGTGATTGTCAAGTGATCTTATCGTAAACATACGATTGTTTTAATTTATTTATAGGGCGTGGTCGTGTCTTATTTGTCAGATTTATTGACAATGTTCGATGTTAATGAACTGAGAATTTAGTTACGTTCTTAAAGGATTTTTGTTGTTTGATTATTTAGCTTAGATATATAACATCATGTTGAAAGTGGATATACCGTGGTTAGCGGATGGATACAAAACATCACTGAAAACAGACAGTCAACTAGAACAAGAAATATTCCCTAATGACGAGGATAATTTTTCACTATGCGCGGATGAATATTTAAACAGTTATGCGGATGTACGTGTTTCTACGCCTTTACATTTTAAACGTAATCCCAGAGTAAAGAGTGCGCAACCCAGATTGTCTTTTAAACAGGTGCTTGCTGAGAGGAACCGTTCTGAAACACCACGACGACCTTTCAGTGCCCGACCCCCGTCAGGTCGACGTCCGAACGCTCAAAGACAAATTAAAAGTGCAGGAACACGTTCTTCGTTATGTTCTCGACATGGAATGTGGACAAAAGTTGTTCCAAAATACGAAGGATATAATCCCGATTATTTTGGACACGATCCCCGTGGGGGACTTGTGGTTGATTTTCGACCCGATCCGGGTGCCCCTTATCTGAGTAGACATTGTCGTTGTTACGACCAACCACAACCACAGATCTACGAACCTCTTCAAGCTTGTGACTTGCCAACAGGATCATGTCCAACCCTTACAACTAGTCGACCCATCTCGGCCAGGAGCCATTATTCTGGTGTTGAAGATGCCGGAGTGGCAACAGAAATAGCCTATCGTATACAGAGATATATAGACTACCACAGACCACAAACAGATCCCACGGTAGGACATTTATATTACAACACAAATATCACTGCCCTGGTTTCGAGTCCACGGTTGTACGTGACAAGGAGTAGGGTCGCCTGTCCAACCTCATGGGTTTGTCCAGGTACTCCGGTTTCCTCCCACTGCTAAAGATCCCTAAGCGCAAACGAATTGTTGAAATAAAATTGAACCATGTGTTAGTCCCGAAATGACCTAGTTTGTGTCGAGTGGAGGTTAAACCTCTCTCTCTGTGTCTGCCTTACATGTTATGATACTTAATTCATTGAAAGGGGGGTTTAAGACGTTACGAATAAATTAGGCGATTTTTTAAAGGTCAATTAGGTAATTGCGGATGATATTCAATAAAGAATTTATAAAGTATATAATGCTGAACTTATGAACTCCAAAGTCGGACTCCGGTCTCCACAATGTCATAAATGTCAATTAAAATACCCTTTTGAAAATTCCTTTAGGTTTAGTTTCTATATTCCTTGGGCTATAAAAAACAAACTAAAATACTGCGAATTTTATTATTTAAATTTGAGTCGAATATTTTCACATGTAACATCATTCTTCAACATAAACTTCGAGGACAGCAGAATTTTCCAGATGATTCCTAGACCATAAACTGTGGTATGCCGCGTGCGTGGGTTGCACTCTTGCGAAAGTCTTAATAGAGGGAGAGAGAGAAATGGGGTTTAACGTCCACTCGACACAAACTAGGTCATTTCGGGACTAACATATGGTTTTAATTTTATTTCAATAATTTGCTTGCGCGTAGGGGTCTTTAGCAGTGGGAGAAAACCGGAGGACCCGGAGAAAACCCACGAGGTTGGACAGGCGACCCTAGTCCTTGTCACGTACAACCGGGGATTCGAAACCACGCCAGTCGACTCAATGACAGACTTTATGATACAGCGCGCGCACGCTAACCATTCAGCCATCCAACCCCCCGAAAGTCTTAATAAATAACATGAATTCCCATGCTTAGTATTCAATTATACTCATGTTATACGTGTTTTCTGTCCATCAGAATTCTGCAAAATCGTCCCCAAATGTCCATGAAATGGCATTTCAGGGACTCTACGTTCACAATCCACCATCTTTCCGCAAGTTTCGAATAATTTCTATCTAGATTTCGTCTTTGCATTTAGGAAATTGAAACATTTTAAAATATAATACGTAAAATACCATTAACTACTTACATCCACAACATTAGAAGCTACCGTTGAATAAAAATAAGTCTGGAAGCTATGTTTTGCCTTACATGAGCCTATCGAAATAGGCCTATAGGCCTACAGGTTTGTTTTTTTTATATATATAAATTGGAAATTATAAGTTGTGTAATTTTGCTTGATAAGTTGAATAATGTATATATTTCTGATATTATATGTTGATGATAATATCCATATAGTAGCGTCAGAGTCCCTAAAACTCTATCCGTTTTTGAAATATAAACTAGTTACCTGTACCGGCAGAACAAGTTGCCGGTACCGGCAGAACAACTTGCCGGTACCGAGCTGCACTGGCTCAGTGAATAAGACACTGAACAAGTCTCGTGTTCGCTCCCGGACGAGGCGTGGCCTCTCCTTGTTAGTGGTGCAGGACAGAGGACCCGTCTAGTGTCTAGTTTTTTGGATGGGACGAAAAAAATGAGGTTCTGCGTTGGCTACACATTAGCGTTAACCCTTGGCAGTTGGAATTCTAAATAAGTACAGGCCGTAACGCCGCTATTAGGCCAAAAGTCCCCTCATAGTACACTGTATGGTGTATGCTTGTCTTCATTAGCCCAGTCGGTGTAGAACAGTAGGACGTTACACCCCATTCCATTCCAGTTTTACTTTTAGGACCAGTGTGTATATCATCTGGTATAAGGGATGTTTGTATTAGGCTTAACTCATTTTAAGGGACATTATGGGAGATTAGATGAAGAGATAACGTAAACAGATAACGTTAAGAGAATATGCTGAAAATTAGCTTTTGAATATTAGCCTAGCCTCGATCATCATTACTAAAGTCGTTACGATAACAAAGTCTCGATTATTCACTTTTATGTTCAATCATCCTTCACAAAATGTATTCAATCCGCTAACTTTCGTAGGATAACGATGGCGTCGAGAGTTGATTATGGTCTTGATAAGTTAATTAATGTCTAATTAATAATTTAGATCACATTTCGGGCCTCAAGAAAGACCTTCAATAGGCAGATTTAGCTCTTGCATAATATAGGCCTATGTTTAATAAGAGGTCATATTTCTGTGTATCTTTATCTTAGTGTAATTTGTCATGACAGCCACGACTTCACGTGCGAATCGCTACAGATCTTTACACTGAAATTACACATTACAGGACATTGGCACTGACATTGCTATTGGGAAAATATGGGACATTGGCACTGGGCATTGCTATTGGGAAAATATGGTTAATTTCACTGCTCTTGTAGGATTAATTAACCTTTGGTATCAAAAATAGCCATTTTTACTTGTATCCGCTTTGAGGTTAGATTCGGGAAGGTGGTTTTAGGAAAACGTCGGAACATTATGGACATATACATGTATATCACCTTTAGACAAATCTAACGCTAAGTGAGTGGGGAAGGTAGCCTATTAGTAATAGTACGTCTACATGACCATCCTATTCGGCTATTCCTAATTATTCTGAATTCAGGACAGATTAAATCTAGACAACGGTATAATACCTTCACCCACTGCCTATTACGAAATTGTTTCTCGAAGACCCATTATTTACTTTAGTACTTAAAATACCGGCATTTTAAAACTTTAAAGACAGCCAAAATTCAAAATTCCCGCTAGAAAAGATCAAAAAGTCAATGTGTTGTTATTCATATAACGGGACAAGAAAAGGTCAAGGGTCAAATTAATCGCTTCACTGATAGACATGCGCAGAACGTTTTGTTATCCCGAACAATGGCGAAGATCAAGAAATGGCAATTTCTCTGGACGGTAGGCCTACTTGTCTTTCTATTTAACCTGGTTATTACTCAATTGCGACGTTTCTACTCCGAGATGCTGGCACCATACGGGGTATCATAGCAACGCCGATTCTCTGCTTCTTTTCTCTTCTCTTCTTGTCGATTTTCTTGTGGACCGTTAGGCCTAGTTTGTCGCCATGACCATACCATGTGACTGACCATAGACTGACTCAGTGACTGGCGACAGCAATCGACCGTTCATGACTACAATTTGATGAAACCACACGGTTTTCCAGAAGGAATACAACTTGTTTGGCTGTTATTGTGCTATAGAACAGATTTTAATATAGTATTGCCGTTTATAATTATGTCGTTTATAAAATTCAAAGCCCGGAGCCATGATAGCGTTTTGTGATTGTTGTTACTTTTCAGAGTTAACTCCCTTTAGGTTGTCAAGCGTGTTCGTGCACGCATAGATAATCTATGGTGCACGTAAAAGAAACATATTTATGTATTAATTTTTATGTCCTGATGCTAATGTATTATTAGCCTGACTAGAATTAGTATTTCATTTTGTTGCCCAGGCATAAAATGATTAACAGTACAAAAGGTGAATATTCAATACAATAATATAATGTGTAATTGGCGGATTAAATTATATCTCTCTGGTGTAGGCCTAGTCAGATTAGATTACATATTGATTATTGTTGGGTAATTTGAAAAGGTTTGATCATACGAAGAATATAGGCCTATAGATACAATCTACACACAGATAACTACCTATTTCGAGGATAGATCACTTACTTGAGTGACCGCCATATATTTGAAAATTAAAGATAGGCCCTACATTATGTAAGTTTTAGATTTAAAGAGTTGACCCTTCTTGCTATAAATAATATGTCAACAATATATAATGTAAAATGAAAATATTGAAAATTTCATTCAGTTTACTTCATTCTGAGCCATGTTATCACTGTTTGTAGTTTTGACAAGATGTGTGCATTGTGGTTACCAGGGCACTTGTATATTCGAGGCTTTCCCATTCTTAAAATAAATTGTTAAATCTCGAATGGTTCTAGTTCTAATCTAGTTAACATCTCGAGTAGCCTACCGTGCCATCGAGAGTTGATTATGGGTTTGCCTTGTTTATAAATGTCTAATTAATAATTTATATAACATTTAAGGCCTAAAGAAAGGCCTGTAATAAGACGATTTACCTCTTACATAATGTATGTTTATGTTTAATTATTTATATTATTTTGTTATGCGGTTCTACGACATTAAAGGGCTAATCCCGATATTTATTGGAGAATAAAACTGCTTAATTTTGTGTTAAAATCGCTTAAAATCCTCTAACTGGACCGAGCAACTAACTCAATATTTGTGATAAGTTTTCAAACAACTTAAACCTGTCAGTCTTCATCTGGAAATGGAGGCCGGTGTCCCAAGCTGTATTATGCGGTGTCTTGATAAAACCAGACTTTTATTTTATAAAAATAATGTGTAGGTGAAATTTACCTTTCGTTATCAAGTAGAGCACATGGGTCATACACCATAAAGACCTCTCAAGGAACGGGAATCGATTGTCAGGTCACCCAACGAAAAAACTGCCCCGAAATCTTAAAAGGGTTACGTGTCTGGATAAGTAGTTTTGACGTTCACGTCCAAACTAGTCAATATTTTGAGCTGGAATTTTGAGAGAAGGTAAATACACCATTCCTCTATATTGTGGCACTTAAATTTCATACATACTCCAACTTTTATTTTTGAGACTCTGTTGAAATCGGGATAGTCCCTTTAACATCTGTCATAGCCTACATAAAACATTTTCAATCTTAATAAATGGAAGGATAATAAAAATTTCTTATAAAAGAAAAGTCTCGAAGTATTATGTATAGTCCTACTTAGGTTTCAAAATTGTCGATTTATGAATTAACATGTCGGTCAGTTAGCTTTAGTGTCTCTTCTCAGTTGGAGTTGTAGAAAGACAGTGTAAGTTTGATATGCGATAGATCTACATGCAGGCCTAATAGGCCTAGATATATGCAGCACGGGTATAGCCAATTCCAGGTCTGGGGTTTTGTAAATGTTTCTAATATTGAACTCTGTTGAGTATAACCCATGTCAATAGTATAATCCATGTCCAGGTCTGTGAATCGTTGGGTATAAACTATAATAAAGTACAGGGGATGGTTACAAAGAAATATCCAGATTGATTGTGTCATGGACATCACGTCACAGCACCTTAAAATTTTAATTATTTCCCCTCACCCCACTGCCCCCCACTTGTAGCTTTAGTCTATAATAACCCATATATAGACGAGTAGCCTATATAAATAACTCATGTTTTATAAAACCCATATATAAACGACTAGTATAGCCATTTGTGTTTTTAAATATAGATGAAACTAGAACACAGTGTGAACGATTATAAAGCCGATATATTGAGACGATTGGTTTAATTTAGATCACAGCAGATTATATAATCGATAATTTGACCTGTATGATATAACTTACACTGAACTTTATTTTACAGGGTAGAGAATATGAGAATCCACCAAGACAACAATTCGTAAGTAGGCCTATCTATCTAGCTTATAAAATATCCAAAACAACCATAAAGGAATATTCTTACCCAAGCAATCATTAAACCAACTACATTCCTTTAACTACCAGCACTTATCATAACACGTGGAAATACTCTGCCCCTTGCATGACATTCGTCATTATTATTAGGTAAACAGGTAGACAATTATTCAAAACCTTAAAAACCTTTTCATCACAAATATTAATAACAACTTGTGTGCAGACGACAAACTACATGTATTTTTTTATCATATTTGTCGTTGCCTACACGACAATTTCATGTTATCTTGGGAATCATGGTGACTAAGTGGGTAAGACTCTGGTTCGCTAGCCTGGAGGTCGCGTGTTCGATCTCTACATTGGCCGAGAAAGTTCATCGGAAGTTTCCAACGTGGTTTCCCCTTGTCAGTGGTGCAGGACGAAGGGCCTGACAAGGACAACCGTCTAGTCATTCGAATGAGACGAAAAACTAGGTCCCGTGTATAAATTGGCGTGCAGGTAAAATATCCCTTGGCATTTTGAATTCGTTATATATAAGAATAGGCCATAATGCCGCTGCCCGGGCAAAATATCCCTCATAGCACACTGTAAAGTCTATGCCCGTCTTCATTAGCCCACTCGGAGTAGAGCAAGACGTTAAACCCCATTTCATTTCATCGTGTATTGTAATAATACGTATGATTTCTCCCACTCGGCAAACCTCGGCAGTTCCAATGGCGGACTTTGTCATACAGCCGAGGCAATTTCTCCATTGCTAAGAATGATTATAGAGCGGTATATAAAATCGTGTTTTATATCAACATCCGGGCATACTTTGTTTTAAATTAGTTTTAAATAGTTATAACATATTTGATATAAATAGACGTGTAGGTGATGCCCTATGTCTCCAGGCTAGAAGGAGTGCTGGTGTCATTCGGGTCCCTAAATCTCAAGGCTGGGGAGATAAACGGTTGATTTCGGTATAGGCCCTACCTAGCTACGAGAATGTGGCTATAAACGTTGAGATATAATGATGTGTTTGTTTTTAGCTACGATTGGGTGCCTTTAGTTTCACCTGACAAACTTAATTGGAACTATAAAGTAACATCTCTTATTTCGAAACATGGAGGTTGAGAGATGAGGTTTCTTATCTGCGTATACCTAGGACATTGTAAGAAATGACAAAGTATTTTATGGGTTCCAAAATAGAGTTGTCTCTCTTTATCCATACGTCCTGTCCTATAATTATGGTCACCATGAAGATGAACTTGTAAAACTTAGTGTTGTGCCTTTAAATTTGAAAGTCTTTGACAACACCTGAAGGCTGAAACCAATCGGCACTCTTCGAAAAATCGCCTGTCTCAATACCGAGCTCTATAAATCCAACTATGTACGCTGATTATTTGAATAAAGGAAACACTTAGATAGTTAGGCCTATATTCATTCTAGATTCAGACCAACATGTTGTTTGGGTATTTTTTCAGCTAATCGGAAGATATGTTCCCCATTTCTGTAGTTTCGTTAACCGATTACCGTTACATGAACGACCACAATCAGCATTTCGAACACCAAGAAAAGGTTGGGCTGCTGTAGAAACAGATGCTACAGCAGATGACAGTACCGGTATATTAGATTTATCAAGTAGGAGAAGTTTTAGGTAGGTTTTTATTTCATATCAGACAATGTGTATATGATTTCAATTCCGGTGACTGACGGGAAACGCGGTGACTCATAGAGTAACCCGAGGGTTCCAGGTTGGATGTCGCTGATGGCTGTGGTGCAGCAATGAAGGAGCGTCAAGCGTTTGTGTCGGCCAAAAACGAGATCCCGGGTACACGTTGGCGTTCACGTAGAATTTTTGTCCCATCCAAACGACTAGACAGCTGCCCTTGTCAGCCCCCCCCCCCCGTCCTGCATCACTGACAAGGAGAAACCATGCTGGAAAATCCCGGCGAGCTTTATCGGCCAACAACGGGAGTGAACCCGCGACCTCCAGGCTAGCAATCCAGCGTCTTATTCACTTAGCCACCGTGGCTCCTAAGTTGTCCAGAAATAATTTCAATGCATAGTGTACACCCGTCTTCATTGGCAGAAATTTAAATCCCATTTCATATTGATCATTTGACAGATATGTGATGCTGGAGGTTTTGTTGATGATATAGTTGTTTATTGTAGTACGAGTGGTTATGAAGGAAGAACTACATCACCAAGTTCAGTTGGAAGTCACGGATCAGATGGTGGTGGTGGTGGTGATGGGGATGGTGGTGGTGATGGTGGGGATGGTGATGATGATGATAATCGTGGTACTCAAGGTCAAAACTACAAACGACAAACTAAGATTGGTAAATATTATACTATAATTTTATAGTACTGTTGATAAAAATGAGGTTCTGGAACACTTTATACCACCTCCCATTCTTGATAAAACCAGGTGGTAGTCAGATTGGGAAATGTCTGGTACCATGATTGTGCTAGGACACCGTTTCTAGAACACCGTATACCATGTCCCGTATATTTATAGAACCTCGTATACCATGTCACGTATATTTATAGAACCTCGTATACAGTGTCACGTAGATGTCCTACGTTGACATGGCTAACATTTTGAATTGTACATGTCTGTATTTTTATCGCTGCCTTGACAAAATATCTCACCTTAGTATTGCACACGTGAACATAGAAATTATTGTTCTGTGTGTTAGTCCCAAGATAGGTATTGTTTGACCGGGGCCTTATTTACAATTCACAAACATATTTAAATGATTTAAAATTTTCATTGGCTGAGATTTATTTCGTAGCCAATGAAACGGCTGTATTTGTAAAAAAAATATGTTAATACGACACTAGAATTTAAACATTACCCTGTCGCAACCTATTTTTAGAATACTATAATATGAGACCGAATAGAAATGTTATTAGTATTAAGGAAACGCAGTTTCAGTTAAGTTTGATGTATATATTTCCTGGGAGACACGCTGGCTCAGTTTGATTTTCAGACGTGGTACCTCCTTGTAAATGGTGCTGGGCCGAGGGCCTGGCAAGGGACAACGTATAGAGTCCTTCGGATGGGACAAAAAAACGAGGTCCCGTGTATACATTGCTGGCGTGTACTTCCGTTAAAGGTCCCTTGGCAGTTGAAATTCGATATAAGAGTAGGTCGTAGCGCCGCTGTCTGGACGAAATGTTCCTCACAGCACACTGACATAATGGCCATAATGCCCGTCTTCATTAGTCGAGTCGAAATAGGACGTTAAACCCCATTTCATTACGTTTTTCAGATGTTAGAATAACTCCAGTCAGATCAGATAAAAATGGTGTGAAAACACAGGAGAGGAAAGGTGAGAAATTAATATAACTAGAATATATTCTTTCAAAGTTTTGTGGTTTATTATTATTTTAATAATTCGCTTGTGCGTCAGGGTCTTTAGTAGTGGAAGGAAACCGGGGGATCCGGGGAGAACCTACGAGGGTGGACAGGCGACCGTACTCACTTTCAAGTACCGTACTCACTTTCAAGTACCATACTCACTTTCAAGACCGACCTTAGGAGAGAGAGAGAGAGAGTGAGAGAGAGAGATTAAACGTCCAATCAAAAAATATATTGTCATTTTGCGCCTAACATATGGTTCAATTCTATTTCAATAATTCGATGTGCGTAGGTAGTATTTAGCAGTGGGAGGAAACTGGAGGACCCGGAGAAAACCCAGGAGGTTGGACAAGCGACCCTTCTCCTTGTCACATACAACCGGGGAATCGGCAGACCTTATGATCTAGCCATATTAAATGCGCAGTGTTAAAAGGTCAGTGTTCAGGTTATATTTATGTGTTCATAGATTATTGGTATATAGATTCTAAAATCTATGAATAATGTCACAATAACATTATGGTAATCAATATTGGTATAAATTTCAGGAATCGTTAACTTTGGATTTCCAGTTTCAAAACCACCTCAATTCTTGTCTAACAAGGTAAGCATACATACACGGGTGGTTATATTATTATCACAACATAAGTTATTTTAAATACAAGCAAGGGTCGCTCATATCCATACATCTCGTAGTCTTTCGACTTTTTGTTTTATAATTGTTGACATTTAAATCAAGGTACATGTAAAAGCGAACTAAAGTGTCACACCTCGTATTTAAAATATAAAAATGAAGCTAGGATGTAAATTCGACTGAATTTATTTCTCTGGATAACAAGAAATGGCATTCTCTTGTCTAGTTTCCACGTAGGTATCACTTCTAAGACGTGGATAATAAGAAATAAAATGTGGTTGAACGTCATACTGTCCTGCTAATGAAGACGGGCATACGCTATACAGTTTGAAATGAGGGAAATATTGCCCGGACAGCGGCGCTACGAACTACTCTTATATCGAATTCCATCTGCCAAGGGATCTTTTGAATTAGTAGTAGGTCATTGCACCGCTGTCCGCACAAAATGTCCCTCAGCACACCGAATGGAATGATATGCCCGTCTCCATTAGCCCAGTCGGAGCAGAACAGTAGGACATTAAAACCCAATTAATTTCATTTCATTTGTTATATCCAATCTGATCTGATATTTATTATTAACAACATGTAATTTAATTTATATATCATAACAAAACATATTTGTATGATTTATCTCAAGTCAATTTTATTTTATTTATTTGTCTATAAATACTTAAACTAGATTATTTTATTTCAACTTTATTGTCAACCGTGTTTAAATCTATATTACAGAAAAGAGGAACGTATTGTTCATGAGAGCATGTATATTGATCTTCAATATTCTGTTAATAAATAATCCGTTTGTTTATTAGATAAGTTAACCCCCTCTTGAATTACATCAATATAAAGTCTTGAATTACATCAATATAAAATCTTGAATTACATCAATATAAAGTCTTGAATTACATCAATATAAAATCTTGAATCGGATCAATATAAAATCCTGAATTAAGTCGTGTTATTCTGATGTGTTATTTAGATTAATAGGTTTCCAACGTTTATTGAATGAGTTTAATTTCATTTTTTGGTTAAAAACACAATAGTGCCTATCTAAGTATAAAAGGATGTTATCATTTAGTCCCGAAATGACCTAGTTTGTGTCGAATGGACGTTAAACCCCGTCTCTCTCTCTCTCTCTCTCTCTCTCTCTCTCTCTCTCGTTCTCTCTCTCTCTTTCATAATTTCACTCCAAGATAAAAAAAATCACAAAAGCTTTAAATTCGATTCGTTTGTTTTACCTAGATGGATATACATTGGAGGACCCGGAGAAAACCCACGCGGTTGGATCATTCATATCAAAACTTAGTTAGTTACCCGAAGTCTTGTAATTTACGTTAACAAGTCAGAAATAAAAACGAAAGGAAATATGAATAATTAAAGTCCGATTATGACAAGCCTTGTGCCCTTTTGTACTTTATTTTATTGTGATCTGTCAATCAGTAACAATCTATGGATAGAGTAGTCTTAGAAATATATTATAAACCTACTGATATTACTGACATTATTATTGACATTTAATCAATATAATATTATCGATCTTCGATCACTTGTATAACAATCAAACCGTGTCAAATATTGTACTAGAATAATTAATTTTTAACGTAATACTTGATATTAAACAACTCTGTGGAAATATTTAAAGACAGGCACGTGAAGTAACAATCGATGAAAATTTGTATGAATATATTGAATGGGGGTTATAATAATACAGATATATTAATGATAAATTGATTGTATATTATATTAGGTTAATTATCCACGATCTGTCTACAAACAGTAATAAAAACGTGTTATTTCATTCTTTACATCAAGTAATAAACTCCAGTCTCTTTCCAATTCTATGTTATGCTAGCTTTCCACTAGATTTTAATCGTGGAGTAATCGTGGTGATCCTTTCAGGTTTCATCATATTTGGTCAGTCGTAGCAATCGTGTTGATCGTATCGAAACGTATCCGAACATATCTGCACGTACCAGATGGAGGATTCAGTAGGGATAATCCTATCATAACAGGACAGTGGGATCATAGCCTTAACTAAACGAAACACTGCGCGGAGTGGTCATAACAGGACAGTGGGATCATAGCCTTAACCAAACGAAACACTGCGCGGAGTAGTTCCGTTTTAACGCCCCATTGTTCATCTCCACCAAGGTTTACGGTGTAGTACTTGTTGTGTTGGTTTGTTCTGTTTATTAAGTGTTGTACAGTTCTCCATGTTAAGAATTATTAATAGTGTATTTGTTGTTACCATGTTTATAGAAACAGGATTTGAAACTTGTTGAATTTTATAAATATTTAATTTAGTTTAGTTTGATATTAATCTATGTTCAATGATTGGATAAAAACCGCCATTAGGGCATGATTTAGGTTATAGTAAAGATATAATAAATAACATTCTGTACACGGATGTCACCATGGTAAGTAGTAGTAGGCCTTTATATTAAACCAATCAATTTATGATACTTATTTTCATTATTACAATTGTTTGCATACGTTTTATGAATAAGGGATTATTCCCAGACATCTGGGTATCCGTCTAGTCTTCTCGGAATTTCATTACCATGTGGGAGTCGCGGTGGCTCAGTGAGTGAAACGTCGACTGGCGGTCTCGGGCTCACTCCCGGTGTTGGTAGAGACAGTTCCGGGCGTGGTTTGGCCTTGCTAGTGGTTGGACTCGCGGTGGATGAGTGAGTAAAACGTCGCCTGGAGGGCTCGGGTTAATTCCTGGTGTTCGTAGAGACAGTTCCCGCCGTGGTTTGGCCTTGTTAGTGGTTGGACTCGCGGTGGCTGAGTAAGTAAAAACGTCGCTTAGAGGTCTCGGGTTAATTCCTGGTGTTCGTAGAGACAGTTCCGGAGGTGGTTTGGCCTTGTTAGTGGTGTAGGATGGAGGTGTAGTACCTATTGTAGGCTGCGTGAAACGTACGTAGGTAGGACTTGTATTACCGTCTGCATGCTCCGTGTGTCTTACCATTTCAACGGCTAGTACACGTTGCTTATCAGCATTACAACGGTTAAACTAGACAGGACAATAAAAAATCCCTTTAGTTTCCTTGTTTTGAATTTAATATATTGTTATCGATTGCGGGTGTGAAAATTTAAAATATATTTAATGCCATTTAAGACATGTCGGAAGTGACGTATATAATTAAAATTTGGAAGTGACGTATGTAATAATGTTATTGTCAACATGTGTTTCAGCCGTCAAAGAACAAGAAAGCCGCTAAAAAGACGACAACGAGCAAAAAAACAAAAAAAGAAAACAGCAGCAAATCAAAAACAAGTAAATGTTCCGCTCAACAAAATAAACCGGTGACGGTTCCGCCAGATGCTATAATACTTTTAGAACAGATCGTAGACGCTGCTGGAGGAGATAAAGATGAGTCGGATGACGACAATAGACGGAGTCGGTCATGTATCAGTAAGAAAGAGAAGAAAGTGGTAGAGAAACCAGTTAAATTAGAAGAAGAAATAAGACCGGTTATAAATACAGAAGATACGATCTATGATCAACCTTCTACCATATTTGATGATAATAAGTAAGTTAGTTTATATACCTAAAATGTACAGGTGACTATCTCTCAGTAATAAACAGGAGAAATGGGGTTTAACGTCCACTCGACAAAAACAAGGTCATTTCGAGACTAACACATGGATCAATTTGATTTCAATAATTCGCTTGCGTTTAGGGGTCTTTAGCAGTGGGAGGAAACCAGAGGACCTGGAGAAAACTCACTAGGTTGGACAGGCAATCCTACTCCTTGTCACGTACTAACTGGGAATCAAAACCACACCATCTGACTCAATGACAGACCTTATGATACAACGCGCACGCGCTAACTATTCGGCCATTCAACACCCCTAAGCAGTAATTGTATTCGATAGATTTATCACCTCTATAGGTATGTATACTGTACGTAATTCAGTCAAACTCTCTATAATGACCCAAAGGTCATAATAGCTTTATTAAATGCCCGCTTACATCGAAGTGATATGATTCCTCGGGATATATGTCAGTGGTGCAGTCGGGCGGTGACTCTTTCAAGAAAAAACATCTAGTCGTTGGGATAGTACAAAAACCGAGGCGAGGACGTACTAAAATACACGGGAAAACGTTGCCCTCACAGCTAAAGACACTGTTCTCAAATTGAAATAAAAATTGTACCATATGCTAGTTATACATATATCTATTAACGCGTGCCAATATATATTGCTTTGAACACTTGGGGATAAAATCTTGGTGTGACATAAACATTTTAAGAATGTTGAATTGCATTGGTCAAGAGCGGAAATATGTGCTATGATTTTTGTGCTCAGTTAATGTGCAATTAAAATATATGGAACTTTGTCCAGTCATATACATAGGAAATGAAATAAAATGAAATGGGGCTTAACACCCTACTGTTCTGCTCCGAACTGGGCTAATGAAGACGGGCATACGCCATACAGTGTGCTATGAGGAAAATTTATCCTGGACAGCGGCACTACGGCCTACTCTTATATCGAATTCTAACTGCCAAGGTATCTTTTACGTGCACGCCAATGTGTACAAGGGGCGTCGGTTTTTCGTCCCATCCGAACGACTAGACAACTGTCCTTGTCAGGCCCTCCGTCCTGCATCACAAGGGGGAAACCACGCCGGAATATCTGGATGAACTTTCTCGGCCAATGCAGGGATGGAACACCCGACCTCCAGGCTAGGACATTGTACGTGAATATAGAACATTACACGTTGCAAATAAAATAAATCGGAATAGACTAGTCTCAAAATTACTGAGTTAAGGAGATATTCAATTCTTTCCGTTTTATTGGTTTCGTTATGCTTGAATTTGGAAAATACAATGAATATAGATTAAACCATTACGTAATAGAAATGCGTAGGTTCTCAATTATCTGTAATTTTCACGGTAAATTGTCCAGCTCTGTAATAATTTAGATCTATTTTCATATCACCGCGGACTCCTTTCATAGTCTGTTCTACAAATGACATCCTTATTATGACGTAGACAATTATAGGTTGTCATCAGTAACAATTATATAAAATAGAAGGTAGCCAGTGGTATATAATATTCACAATAATTTAAATATTTCAAATGGAAGGGCAAAAGTAAGACGCCTTATTTTCTAATTTTGATATGGTTTACTGGATTTTTTAAAATATCGGCTGGTATTTTATGAATTAGTGGATTAATTTGATGAAATTAATAATTATAATGACATTTTTGCATTTTAAGTAGGCCTGCGGGATTTCTTCGAGGTGCAAGATATCCTTGTGTCTTATTTCATAGAGAAACTTAAAAATGGGATTCAGGATATTTCGGTGTTTTTTCCTCTTCTTTGAATTCCGGGGGCCGCGGTGGCACAGTGATTTGGGAGCTGGCTCGTAAACCCACAGATCCGTGTTCGATAAAGTTCCTCGGGATTTTCTGGTGTAGTTTCCCCTTGTCAGTGATTGTCCGGCGTGGCTTCCCCTTATCAGTGGTGTAGGATGGGGCCTAACAAGGACAGCTGTCTAGTCGTTCCGAAGGGACGAAAAATCGAGGTCCCGTGTATACATGGGCGTGCACATAAAATATCCCGTAGCAGTTGAAATCCGATAAAAGAGTCGGCCATAGTGGCGCTGCCTGGGCAAAATTTCCCTCATACACACTGTATGGCGTATGCCCAGTCGGAGCAGAACAGTATGACGTTAAATCCCATTTTATTTCGTTTCATTTCCCTTGTCAGTGATACACACTGGGGGCCTGGCTATGTACACCGTCTAGTTGTTCCGATGGGACGAAAAGCCGAGGTCCCGTGTTCATGTTGATGGTTGACCTGCGCGTAAAAGCACCATTGTCAGTTGAACTTGGAATTAATAGTAGGTCATTGCACCGCTGTCCGGGCAAAATATCCCCGATAACCTACAGAATCATTATCCCGGTTGATGCAGAATAGTAGGACGTTAAACCCTGTTTCATTTATTCGAATTATACCTTCGTAGTGTTGTTTCATTTACACGTCATTTGTACAACCGGACGACGAGGTACCTTTCCTTATCAGTCTCTCGGATGGTTCAGCTGACAGGTGGAACTGGATTTAAGAAGTCTGGATTGTAGTCATATGTCCCGTGGAGTTATTCCCTAATCGCATATATAATAATTATATATTTATGCTTTCCTCTATTTTCAGATACGATGACACACCTGAGTTACCCCAGGTGGACTCCCAATTACCTGAGTTACCTGTATTCCCCACACCTGAACCACCGAAAGAACCCAAAACTCCACAAAGTAAACAACGCAGTCTCATCTCGGCGCCTTCATCTCTTAAAAGCAGTAAACTGGTAAGATATCATTACGCGTTTACACGTAGAGTAGGAATACAATGACATGGTGTTTAACGCCCTACGTTCATACACTTACAGAGCCAATGGGGTTTAACGTCCACTCGACACACAAGGTCGTTTCGGGACTAACATATGGTTCAATTTTATTTCAATAATTCGCTTGCGCGTCGAGGTCTTTAGCAGTGGGAGGAAACGAGGTTGGATAGGCGACCCTACTCCTTGTCACGTACAACCGGGTAATCGAAATCACGCCAGTTGACTCAATTGCATACCTTATGGTATAACTCGCACGCGCTAACCATTCGCCCCCCCCCCCACACACACACACACACACACTAATGTCAACGAGAAGTTAAAGTATTGTTATTAATTTATAAAATATTAATTTCTAAATACATATATTGAACAATTAGTAAGATTAACAGCTGATCTATGGGGATTTAATTCGGAAACATTACCTGGAATACATGAACTTCACATACAGAAATATTTATCCAAATACAATGATCTCAACTCATTTGATAATAAAAGTAGGCTTAACTGCTTCTGATAAATACTAATTTTATAAATAAAATAATTTTTTTTTTAATAAAATACTAATTTTCTTGAATAAAATACTAATTTTCTTGAATAAAATACTAATTTTCCTGAATAAAAATAATTTTCGACAATAAAATAATAATTTCCTTGAATTTATTTTCGGCAATAAAATATTAATTTCCTTCTTCAATAATATAGTAATTTTGTTAATAATATATTAATTTTCTATTAAGAAATCCATCTGTATCTAGTGGTATAGAGATATTAACGTTGATATTCAGGTAGAAACTATATTGTATTATTGTCAGGGATAATAGAATAGTTGGACTGTTTGACAGGTAGGGGATTTTCTATATACTGTCTAATATATGGGATAATCCCCCAGGTATTATTTATATATAAACCTTATAATAGGTAAATATATATTAATGTAATTGTACCTACTATAGCCCTACTAGTAAACAATATTATAAACAATGTTTAAGATCACTTGAACTAATAAAGTATATATTGAAAACCTAATACCAATCTAGAAAGATGGTTGAAATCAAGATGGATATCGACTGTGTTAAATGTTAAATTCAAGATGTTTATAAGGATTGGTATTTTCTCTATAAGTATGTATATATTATGAATTATTACAGTGAATTGAAACTACTATATAATATGCCATATAATTATGCTCTGTGTACAGGTTACAGTAGTACACTAGTGTTGTATACATTGATATTATTCATTGTATTTAGATACATGGTACATTTAATTATTTATAGATTTAAAGGAAACTTTAGACGGAATCTCAGGACATACTAATTGATTGTGGAACAGGGGTCTATTTTGAGATGCCGTTTGTAATATTTTCTACGACTGTGTTGAGTGTTGAGTAGTCTATATTGATGATATAGTCAATGGTGTTCTGTTCTGTAAATATAAAAACAAGGGTATATTAATTAGAATGTTATTTAACACAATATGGTGTTCATTTTTAGACTGAGACTAGGGTGAGGGGGGGGGGGGATAACTCCTGCGCGTTGTATCATTGAGCCAAGTGGCGTGGTTTCGATTCTCCGCTTTTGTACCTGACAAGGAGTAGGGTCGCCTGTCCATCCCCGCTTCCCCCCACTGCTAAAGACCCCTACGCGCAAGTGAATTATTGAAATAAAATTGAACCTTATGTTAGTCCGCCATAAAACATTTCATTTTATTTCATTTCCGTACTGACTTAGTTTGTGTGAGCGGGCGTTAAACCCCGGGACAGCGACACTTCGGCCTACTCTTATATCGAATTCTAACTGCCAAGGGATCTATTATGTGCACGCCAATGTATACACGGGACCTCGACTTTTCGTCCCATAAGAACGACTAGACAACTGTCCTTGTCCTGCCGGAAATTCCCGATGAACTTTCTCATTCAACACAGGGATATCGAACCCGCGACCTCCAGTCTAGCGAGCCAACGGCTTACTCACTTAGCCACCATAGCTCCTAATTACCGTAGAAAACGACCTGAAGCACATTATGAATATAAAATGTCATCAGTATATACAAGACATATTAAATTTATTGAAGTTTTGAGGGAAAGCTTGAGCTCTATTTCAAGTGTGGAATCAAGCGAACCACGTCGCTATTCATAAACCTCCCTACCGACCTATACATTCACAGTTAATCCAATACATTGTACATTGAAATTATATTAAGATTTCAATATATATTGACACTAGAATATTTAAATTACACTAGTTTATTGGTTTATTTTTTAATTATAGGATTCGGATGACGAGAGTCGAGTACGACCCGAGTTTGATATTGGTGTTGTCATGGATGTACATACTGACGAATCAACACCCAAGGTAAGTATATTAAAATATAAATTATTTACACCTTATTGATTGGTATACAGACATCATACAGGTGTTATATTTACCTGTTTCATTGACTCACAGACCAGGCATCATACAGGTATTACATCTACCTGTTTCATTGATTCACAAACCAGATTAACAACAGATTGGATATAATATATACATTATGGTGAGAATTTTAACTAATAATAATGATATGGGTTCTTATATAACACTAGACTCCAAACAATATGCTTGGGAAATAGTTTATAAATAGGAACATTGTAAGAAGCTGAGGGAGGGAGCTGTCATTAGATAGAAAAATGATCTGCAACCAAAAATGTTCAGGTCAAACACTCTGCAATAGTATTGTTTTGTTTTTCTTAATATTGTGTCGTGATGAAATGTACTGTAATTAACTTGTATTTGATGAACCGTAGCTAAAGACACATGGGTATTCTAGCGTTTTGACCTGCATTGAGTAATATTTTTCTTGCTACTTTAAAATGATAGATTCCCAACTATACGACTGATATCTTGGTATACAGGACAGCGGGTCGTATTTTCAATGTATATAATATTATATTATGATATTACAGCCTAAACCACAGTCATGGTTACAAGGTAGATTGGCTTTATCTCAACAGTCAAGTAGATTTGAGTTACCTATGGATATGAAACTCTTAGAATGTAAGTTGTGCTTGTAATATAATATTCGTTATATTTTATCTTCATGTTGGTTGGTAATTACCAAAGGCTGTAACTTGCGACTTGCATGTATACATGACATAGCGATATACATGCATCTGTGAATATTATAACATCCATAACGTCATACTCGTGAATAACGGCAAACCTCAGCAGATTCCAGTACCCTACATCTAGCCTCGGCTGTATGACGAAGTCCGCCATTTGAACTTTTTTCAAGTTCCCGGATTACCAATGGCGTTGCCCATGACTAGGGCTTTGAAGAATGTTTTTATCATACAAATATTTCAAAGTCTGAAGCTGTTTTTCTTTCAAGTTTATCCGATTTTCTTCAAACAAGGTCAACTTTACGCTAAAAATTCTACACAGCTTTCGAACGACGCAATTTTGATAACTTCTTTTTAAAAGCGGCAAGTTTTCCTAATAAGTAAACTGGTGCCGCATCGCAATTGCAGAGGCGTGGGTACATATCACTTACCGTCATACAGCCGAGGCTAGATGTAGAGTAACGAATCTACTGAGGTTTACCGAGTGCGGCATACCTGTGAATAACGTCATATGTGTGAATGACATCATACTTGTGAATATAATGTCATACCTGTGAATAACGTCATATGTGTGAATGACATCATACTTGTGAATATAATGTCATACCTGTGAATTACGTCATATGAAATGTATTTTAACATATATTTGTAAGTGACATGCACGTGCGTACTGTGATTGGTAAGGAATAGATTACTGCTGGAATGTCGTCGTCATTATAACTAATAAATATTATATGAAGAAATGATCAAATTGACTTTGTTTTACCCTGTAGCTATGATACCGTTAAAGTATAAATATTATATGAAGAAATGATCAAATTGACTTTGTTTTACCCTGTAGCTATGATACCGTTAGAGTATAAATATTATATGAAGAAATGATCAAATTGACTCTGTTTATCTTGTAGCTATGTCACCATTAGAGTATTTACGGCGACATTGTGTTATATCAACAAGAAGACAGAATCTCTACCAGAAAATGTTTGTAAAACATAAAGATAAAACAGGGGTTATACTTTATAAGGTTAGTAGTACTGGGTTTAACATCCAGTCGACATCTTTCTCACACTAACATGATATATTTTGCGGACGCATGCGGATTGCAAGAGAGGGAGAGCGAGAATCGTTTCTTTGAAACTAGAGGCCCTTGGGCAAACCCACGAGATTGGGCATCCTTACTCTTGCCACATACACACAGAGAGAGAGAAATAGGGTTTAACGTCCACTCGACACAAACTAGGTCATTTCGGGACTAACATATGGTTTAATTTTATTTCAATAATTCACTTGTGCGTAGGGGTCTTTAGCAGTGGGAGGAAACCGGAGGACCCGCAGAAAACCCACGAGGTTGGACAGGCGACCCTACTCCTTGTCACGTACAACCGGGAATTTGAAACCACGCCAGTTGGCTCAATGACAGTCTTTATAATACAGCGCGCACTACTAACTATTCGACCACCCACCCCACCCCCCTTGCCACGTACAAGTGTGTGATTGAATCACAGCTTGACCCTGTAATAGATCTTAAACCATTCGACTTGGACCCACTTTGTTGAATAATAAATAATAATAAAATTATTTTCCTATAGAGTGCGTGTTTTTATCGTCTCCTACTTGCGATTGTTGAATAATAGATGATACTGTTGAACATAGTTTAGTAGGGTTGATTGTTCTAGTTGTTATATGAAAGCAATAGTTCAACATTGTTATGGGAAATAGCTTGTAATCGTCTACAGATGATTCAGAACGATTTGTAATAAATATTATATGTCAATTAATCTTCTGGTCCAGTTATTATTCTATATTCCAACATTTGAAAGTCATCATATATTACTCTAACTCTGTCCGTTCGCTGTTCATGTTTCTTTTTATATTTTTCAAATATATAAGGTTTGTCTATAGAAAGTGCGGGGGGGGGGGGGGGGTCTCACCACACAAAAACAATTACACAAGACAAACCTATATTCATTAATCACAAACAACAAACAACAAACATATAGATCAGATCAAGTGAATGGGCCTTGGGGCTAGCTGTAAGCGCCCACTGCGCTGTATAGCCCCAGGCCTGTAGTGATACTATCTCATTGAAAGGGAGAATCCTATTGATTTTCAATGATTTTCAATGATAAATTCCAGAGACTTGTATTATGTCCCGGTCTTTCTGAACTTGATACTGGTTGTCTATGTTATATATTGTATATTTCAGGATTTAGAGAAAGCGCTAAATGATGTATTAATAAATGCTGTAAATGCCCAGAGATTGGAATATTTTAGTCAGTTATTACAGATACCAGAAGATATTAAACTAGATTGTCGTCTGTTCTCTTGTATAGCTGCTCTTATAGAACGATTATTATATCCTGTATTCTTGTAAGTATATCACCAATCACTTTTATAATATCCACACGTACCTCTCATATCTTGACTGCTTTAGCCCATTGGTTTAAACTTCATGGAAGTCAAAGTGTAAATATATTTGTTTCATTGTTGAAAATTAAAGTTAAAGTATATATCATTCACGTCAAAAAGAAGGATATGATAAGAATCTGAAAGCGCGGGAATTTGAAATAGGGTCTTTTGTATGGCACTGGTACTCACCTTCCGCAAATCAAAAATTTGGATAAGAATGGTGGTAAGATTGACCATGTCTTTGGGGTGCTTCTTCTAAGGTATTTGCCATTTTTTTGATGAAGTGATTGATAATGGTCGTACACAACTCTTTGGATTAATTTTTTTTGCAAAATAAAGTCTGATTTCTGAAAAAGATATTATAGGTAAAATTAATTATATTTATGATATGTTCGTTAAAAAAGTATTAACATTAGTGTTACGTTGCTCTTTTTTTTTGAAAAAAATTTCACAAGTTGTTTTCCTTTATTTTGTTAATGTAGAATGGTAATGAACTGCTCTTTTCATTTTCTTTGTTTTATTTGTTTCGTTTGAATTTGATTTATCTGTTTAGTTTTTGATTGTTTAATTTTTGTTAATGAAGCTGATTCTTTTAAACTTCGTTTTTATTTTTGAATTCTACTTGGTGTAGGTGTTCATCAGGTAATACCTCGAATGAATCAATATAGAGATTAGCCGGTTGATTTGTTGATATAAACCTTTGAATAATAGCGCCTAACAGGCAGTTGTGTTTAATTATGTTCTCCTGATTTTGATCGTTTCTGTGTGTTTGAAGTATATGTTTGTGATATGCGCTTAGAAACACTTCACGTGTAATGAAGCGCTATATAAATCGAACAATAATAATAATAATTTTGATAAAAATGAAATTGGGTTTAACGTCCTACTGTTCTGCTCCGACTGGTCTAACGAAGACGGGCATACGTCATACAGTGTGCTGTGAGGGAGATTTTGCCCGGACAGCGGCGCCACGGACTAATCTTATATATAATTCCAACTGCTAAGGGATCTTTTACGTACACGCCAATGTGTACACGGGACCGCAGTGTTTCGTCCCATCCGAAAGACTAGACAGCTGTCCGAGCAAAATATGCCTTCGTTAGCCCAGTCGGAGTAGAACAGTAGGACGTTAAACCCCATTTCATTTCATTTCATTTTTGGGGATAGCGGTGTTTTCAATGTGTAGCCTACTTGTACTTCAATGTGTGGCCTTCTCTAGCTGGTGGGCCTCGGTATTTCATCCAATCCCTTTAGCATGCACCCCTAGCAACGGTACAACAGACCAGAGAGTCCCGAGCGGGAACACCATAGCTTGTGAGACAGAACATACCCTCTAATAAGCCACTGTAATTTGAAACTATTACGTTTATAATTATTGATTAAGATTATTTTAAATAAATGTTTGTGATTTCATGTTTATTTTAGAACGGATGATACGGCCGATCTCCCAGGATTCCAGAAAGAGAAAATAGAATGTGCTGATTTCTGTGCTTTAGATTGGAAGTTTCATGGAGTAAAGGTCAACCCTCCAGTAGAAAGACTGTTAAAATCTATAGCATAAATAACTACCCAGTATTAACAACGTAGTATCACAGTCTGGGGGAATAAATGACCACCGAGTATTCATACGGTATTGTCATAACCGTGAGGGTAGTTGGGGGGGGCAACTGTAGTAGACTTGTAAATAGAATTAAATTCTGCTAGAATGACCACCCTTTGTCTGCTTGTTTTGGTTGCTTGTTACAAGGAATCTAATTAGATTAACCGAAGAATTATTTATTATTCTGTTTTATTTATTGTTTATTGACTATATTCAACCCTCTGCTAGACAGAATATCAAACCACTCATTTTTCTATTGATTTTCTACTATCAAATATTGTATTGTATATCTACCAAAATTGCAAGGCTACCACCGTTTTTGGGGTTTTTTTTTTGTGACTCCAGAAATAACATTATCACACCGAACGAAAGTGGATGTCGCGTGTCAAGCAGGGACACTTATTTTGTACAAAAACTAAAAATTATTTCACGTTTTAAATCTTCAATAGTTTGATTGGAATCTTTCAGAAAATGATTCTAATTGAAGAAAAATCTGAATTTAAACCTGTTTTACTTTCACAACAAAATAATGTTATAACGAATTATTTATATGTTTTACTTTCACAACAAAATATTGTTATAAAGAATTATATTTATGTATTACTTTCACAATTGTTATTACAAGTTATATGTATTATTTCGACAACTAATTACTGTTATAACGAATTATAACGAATTATTACTTTCACAACCAAATACTGTTATAACGGAGTATTACTTTCACAAATGTTATAATGTATTATTTATATGTATTATTTTCACAACTAATTACTGTTTATACCGATTTGTGGATTACTTTCACAACCAAATACTGTTATAACGAATTATTTGTGTATTACTTTCTCGACCAAATATTGTTATAACGAATTATTTGTGTATTACTTTCGCAACCAAATACTGTTATAGCGAATTATTTGTGTATTACTTTCGCAACCAAATACTGTTATAACAAATTATTTGTTACTTTGTTATTTGTTTACCTAATTTTTCTGTTTATTTTGTTTGTTGTATTGTGGAATATAATTATGTTGCTTTCATATTTGTAGAAAACTGGATTCATTTTTATAGGTGTAACTATACAACACGGACATGAACTCATTCTTTGACGGGGTTGGGTGGCCGAATGGATCAACGTGTGTGGGCCTTAAATCACAAGATCTGGCATTGAGTCACGTGGGGTTGTTTCAATTCCCCGCTTGTACCTGATAAGAAGTAGGGTTGCCTACCCAAACCCATAGCTTTTGTCCGGTTTCCTTCCACTACTACGTGCAAACGCATATTTGTGTCCCGAAATGACCTAGTTTGTGTCGAGTGGACGTTAAACCCTATTTCTTTCTCTCTCTTTCCTTTTAATTTGGACAAACTGTAATGATTTCTCGAGTGTGATACGTGTATATATAATAGAATACACTATTTCTATTCTCTAGTAGTCCATTAATTAATTCATATAATAGAAATTACATCATCCAATTATTCCTTATAAAATATAAACAGGATCCACCAGATGTTACCATAGATACCCTTGTTACTGATGTAACCATAGATACCCTTGGTACAGATGTAACAATAGATACCCTTGTTACAGATGTAACCATAGATACCCTTGTTACAGATGTTGATAAACGAGTGCTTGTATATATATATGTATTTTGTTATTGTTTTATATATTTAAAGAAAATCTATAATTATGTAAATAAATTATTATGATGCAATAAAATCTCAATTTCACAACGGACGTAGTCTCAAATTCCTGTTTAATATATTGGTGTATCTCCAATAACCTATCGATTAACACTGCCTGTCATTTAGTGCAAGGGTAGTTATCTTAAGGGAGGAAATGAAATGGGGTTCAATGTTCTGTTCGGACTGGGTGTAGGCGGGTATACAGCATACAGTGTGCTATGAAGGGTGTATTTTGCCCTGACAACGCCGCTATAACTACTCTGATATGCCAACTGTTGTTTAACTGTACTCTAAAGTATACACGCACCTCAAGTTTTTGTCCCATCCGAACAACTACACGTCAATTGCCAGAGACTGACAAGGGGAAAGACAGCAATACTGGAAGAGGAATAACTCAACCAGCATCACGTTAACCGCTGAGGGCTGTGCCATACCGTTAGCTATGGGTGGATATTGGAAGACCTGGGTGCACCTATGAGGTTGGACAGGCGATCCTACTCCTTGTTAGTACAAGCGGATTTGAAACCACGCCACTCGACACAATGACAGATCTTATGATCTAACCTCCTAGCTGTCCCCCGCCCCCGACAGTATATAACACTGGCAGGGGCGCACATATTTCCCCCCCCAAGGAGGGTGGCCATCAAATAACCGAAACCACTTAGCATTAGAAAATCAATTATTACCCCTAGTAAGGTCGAGATGTAGTTAGTAAATATAGCATTATGTTATTTTTAAATTAATCATGTTGATTTGTAGGCCTTATTTTGGTTTGATTGAATGGGTAAGAGACTCCGACAAACCAGCCCATTTTCATCCAAAAAACGGCCACTCGGCAAAAAAATCGGCCCATTTGCTTATCTGGACTAAGCATAGGGGGGTGCCGCCACCCCCTGTTGTGCCCCCCCCCCCTTAACACTGGTTGTAACCTAGACAAAAACAATATCAATATATACAACAAAGATATCTTTATTTTCAATATATTATTATTACATTAATATATATTCCAATACAATATTATTACATATATTATTATATTAATATATATTTCAATACAATATTATTACATAGTTATATATTATTATATTAAATACATTCAAAATCACAGTCCAGTATATTATTGTATGATATAATTTTGATTTTCACAATAAATGGTTATTTTTTTTAATAAATAAGATTAAAAATGAAAATATTAATAATATCACAGTATTATGATTATATATATATATATATATAAAAAGGTATAAAACTTTAATGCTGGAGATGGAAAATATATTCACTTTGGTGTCGGTCAATCTTAATTTATCTCTGGTCTAGATATAGAAGGGAGAAGAAGGGGGGGGGGGGCTTTTCGAGAAAAGAATATCATTATATATATAGAGAGAAATGGGGTTTAATGTCCACTCGACACAAACTAGTTCGTTTCAGGACTAACACATGGTTCAATTTTATTTCAATAATTCGCTTGCCCGTAGGGGTCTTTAGCAAGGGGTCTTCTGACCATAAACACAATAGTTCAAGGGATATCTGTATTTGTTTTCCCAAACAAGAATAATTCATTAACATTAAACTTGAGTCTTTTTTAAGAAAGGTTAAACAGAATGTAGATCATTTAAAAGAAGATACAGAAATTAAAACCAGTCTGTAAATGAATTATATTTATATTTTTATGGTATAGTATATATATCTTTAATTTAAAATATAATAACAATGGCAGGAGAACTGATAAAGTTTTGTATAAATAGAACAAACAGAACATTATTTATCATTTAAGGTGTAATTCTTACTCCAATGTTTTCATGACATTCAAATGTAAATATCTAAAGTTAGTAATAAGACTGTTTCTATCATGGGTGCCTTGAAATACAAACTGACTGTTAGGTTGTCAGTCGGACATTTCCAATGTCAGTCGAACCGTGACCGGCAATAATAATATAAACAAGAGCTCTGGTCCCAAGTTCACAAAATGTTCACAGACTTAAGTTAAGAATTTATTAAAAATTGTTTGCCAAATTTCAACTAAAATATAGCCTTTTATAAAACTTTTGTTGTTTTGAATTTTAATTTATCAAATACATCAATAAGAAACTATGTACAAAGTTTTGTGTTTCTGGATCAAAGAAATTTCTCATAAACAGTGATTGAAAGTTGAGTAAATTCTTAACAAAGTCTGAGAATGCTTTTTGAACTTGGTGCCTGTTTCTGTTACATTCCTTACTTCCATGCTTCCATGTATGAATTAATTTTCAATAACTAGGCTATATTGTAGAGGAATGTTTTGGTTTTAAATAATATTAATCACGTCATGCCACATGTGGTAACATTTGGCCACACTCTGTACAATTAATACTAACTGGTAAATATTAGTAGGCTTTAATAGACAGCCTTAAATACACAATGCTGAAATTCAATAGGCTTCTTCACCTCACTTATGTAAACAACTTATATATACATATAAATTTTAAAATGGTCAAATGATTCATTTATTCCGCAGAGTAATGAATAGACAGGGTAAAAGCAATATAAATGTAGTCTGCAGAGTGTTCACAAGAAATTGTAGTTGATGAATGGACAGCAATATAAAACGAAATAGAACAAAAGTACACAATAATTAAACATACATTATGTAAGAATTAAATCCATTTATTACAGATCTTTATTTTGGCTTCAAATTATTATTTAGACATTTATTAACATGACAAGCCTATATCCAGCCTTCTACACCATTGGATCTACATAAAATTGATAATCAAGACTTAGTCTCAATTGTCAAGTACTGTTGCTATGATAATAATAAATCTACCTTACATATTGTCAAACCTTCAAACGCTCATAACTTCGCACTGAATAAAGTAATTTGAATGAAATGTTCAACATATTCCCTTTTCGTTATCTATTCTTTAACTATTATAGCAAGAACGACCAGTTCTTTATCTAAATCTTACATAATGTATCTTTAGTGAAACTGACATCAATATAGAATAATGTCAATCAGAATAAAATACAATGCATAAATACCAATCTTAGAAAATTCAAAATCTTTTAGCACATTACAGGGTGTCACACGAGACTCACAGAACAGTCTTCAAATACACCAAACTACAAACTGGAATTAAACCTTTACAACCAATCTCAGTATCTTGTTTGTTTGGCAGTGTTGTCATAGCAACAATTAATGCATGCGTAACTAATATCATAGAACATTTATTTGTAATTGATATAAACATATTTTTAAGAGCACTCATACTGGTATAATATTTGCTGATAATCTAACGAGTCAATTTCAAACGTGAGTCGATCTCAAATGTAAAGATGGCGATGGGCTAACCAGTCCATCTTAAATGTAAAAATGGCGATGAACTAACAAGTCGATCTCAAATGCAAAGATGGCATTAGACTATAGGTCAATCTAATATCTAAAGATGGCAATAGACTAATGAGTCGATCAAAAATGTAAAGATGGCGATGAACTAACGAGTCGATCTAAAATGTAAAGATGGCGATGGACTTCTATGATCATAATTTTTGTTTAATTGATTGTAGGCTCTTTCTAGTTCCATTAATTCCTGAAACAAGAAAGACAAAACTCAGTACAAACTCTCAGAACGTGGGGCCCATTCCCACCCACCAACCCACTAGTAGGCCTACAAACTATCAGGTCGTGAGGCCCATTCCCACCAACCAACCAACCAGTACAAACTATCAGGTTGTGGGGCCCGTTCCCACCAACCAACACACCAGTACAAACTATCAGGTCGTGGGGCCCATTCCCACCAACCAACCCACCATTTATTATTTTGTTTCTATGAAATATGTAGATCTGAGGATATTTATTGGTTGGGGTGATGAAACTGATGAAATACTATATTCAGGCCAGGATATGTGCCACAAATCACCATTGGAGAGAGAGAGAGAGAGAGAGGGAGAGGGAGAGAGAGAGAGGGTGGTTAGAAAGGTGATCCTACTCCTTGTCCTATACAAGGTTGGTATCATTACCACTCCACTTGGCTCATTGACAGACCTTATAATCTAAAGTGCATGCATTAGATCACTGAACCAACCAAAGCCTGGAATGTAATGTGTAGGGTATTCATCACTGGACAAGGAATGTATTGTGTAGACTGTTCACCTCTCTTTTGGCCCCTACCTACCATCAACTTGGCACAGCATTACTCTCCAGATCATAAAGCATGTAATAAATGAAATGGGGTTTAACATCCTACTAGCTAGTAATAAATATATAATACAATATATTACGAACTTTGTTCTGACTGGTTAGTGTATTCTGTAATTTGTTCATTTCACTCATTTTTTGATTTGGTTTTGAGAATATTTGTGTTAATTCTGGATCTGGCGCCTGTTGTTCATCCATCTTGATTCTCTCTGAAAGACTTATTGCCATTGATTCTCTTTCAGCACTCAATCTCGCTCTTAATGGTACCTTTAATAAACAAATAAAATGATGTTTAACATCCTACTGTTCTGTGAGAGAGAGAGAGAGAGAGAGAGAGAGAGAGAAAGAGAGAGAGAGAAAGAGAGAGAGAGAGAGACAGACAGATGGGGATTAACATATGGTTAAATTTTATTTCAATAATTCGTTAGTGCGTAGGGGTCTTTAGCAGTGGCATGAACAATTACACATTGTTCCTGGCCACACCCTCGGTCCTGAAACACTGACAAGAGGAAACAACCACACAAGAAATTCCTTAAGTACTTTCTGGTTCAACACCTTGAGCGAACTCAACACAGGTGCGGATCCAGGATTTTCAGAATGGGTGGGGTGGGGACGTGCTGCCCCCACTTTGGAGTGTGAAGCTCGGCACTCGGTGGACGGACTGACAGGCAATCTACCAAGTCACCAACACAGGAACTGCCAACTTATGACGAGGATCACTATCATTTTTAAGTATTTTTGTTCTCCTTGTTCGCCACCGGAAAAAATAGGGGAGGCGTGTGCCAGGTGCATCCCCCCCCCCCCCTCTGGATCCATGTCTGCAAGACCTCCTGGTAAGAGGGCCAGCATCTTACTCACTGAGTCACGGTGACTCCCTTTATCAGATAAAAAACAAAACCTGTGAAAAGTCTGTCATTTCTAGTTACTGTAAACATTAGATAAATATACTGAGCGCCATGGAAAACGCATCACTTTTTTTCCCAAATATTTTATTACTATTTGGTTTTGTATGTATAATATTATGCAATATTATGAACTATTGTTTCACACAATGCTCCCAAACGCAAAAAATATCGGCCCTTGTGCACAAAAAAAATTGCACGAGATGCACATGAAAAACCCAATATTCACGTGCAGCATTGTGTGTGAGCCCTTTAAAAGCATGTTTTCAACTTAATGTGCAGTACATGAACTGTGAAACGTCAATCTGTCGTAATTTGTTGTTGGACGTGTGAAGGAATCGAGCTAGAGATGCAGAGACTTACTGAAAATCAACGGAATGAAGCCATGCGAATGTCCAGGGCTGGCATGTCTACACGTGCTATTGCCAGACACTTCAATTGTCATCAGTCCACTATTGTAAAGTTGGTGGAACGTGTTCGAGTTACTGGATCAACACGTGACCGTCAACGTCCTGGTCCACAATGCGTTACAACCCAGACTCAAGACCGCTACATCCGGGTCACTCATCTGCGTGACAGATTCCGCCCAGCGACTCGAACAGGTGCAGCAGTCGTCGGAAGACAAGGACCAGTAAATGCCAACACCGTAAGACGTCGTCTAAGAGAAGTATGACTCCGTGCACGACGACATTATGTTGGAGCTATCCTCAGGGATCATCACCCTCAGCGGCGTTTGATATGGGCTCAAGGACACCAGACATGGAGAAGAGTAGACTGGCAAAGTGTGCTCTTCAGTGATGAGAGTCGATTTCATCTTTATCACGCTGATGGCCGTCAACGTGTGTGGAGATGTCTTGGGGAATGTCTTGCAGACAGCTACACATTTGCACGGGTCCCGTTAATGCTGTGGCCTACCGTGATGATGTCTTGCAACCAATTGTTGTTAAGATGTTTCGAGCGCACCCACAAGTTCAGCACTTCCAACAGGATAATGCACGTCCGCATACCGCCCGTTTTAATATGGACTACCTGGCTGCTAACAACATCAATGTTTGGGACTGGCCAGCCATGTCTCCGGACATGGCACCGATAGAACATGTCTGGGATGAGATTGGACGCCGTCTGTATCAGAGACCACAGATGCACACCATTGCTGCTTTAGAAACTGCTCTTATCCAAGAATGGAACACTTTGCCCCAGGCCTTCTTTCAAACATTGGAAAATTCCATGCGACATCGCTGCACAGCATGCGTAAGAGCCCGTGGAGGACACACGCGCTACTGACATCTGTGTCGTACTTTTGGTTTTGACCCCTCTGACTTTGTACCGTTGATTACAGATTAAACATCCATAAGTGTACAAATGTGTTGTTATTGATGTGTTCCCATTTGAATATTGTTCACAATAAGAAGCAAAATAAATAAGATATGTTTACAGGATCATTTTGTTATACGAAAAACTATATGATGCGTTTTCCATGGCGCTCAGTATAGTTCAACTATAATTATAATGTTTCATGTATAGGGGAGACAACTCCAAAGAAGGTCCCAAAAACACAACAACATAATAATCTCATGTACATGAAAACACTATAAGTTGTTTATTTCTTCGAGATCACAGAAGACACAGCAGTTCATGTGACGTGAGCGGTCCAATAAAGATGGACTGTGGGCAATTTCGGTGGTCTGAAGAAATACATCTGTGGGCAGCTTCGGGCGGTCCCAAGGCTAATGTATTATATTCGTGTGTAGAAAGTGCATAAAGCGTACTTTAAATGTGTAATTAGCACTATACAGGTGTTTATATTACTATTATTTACCTGTGTATATAAATCAGGTACTGCACCTGTATATTTACCTGTCTATATAAATCAGGATTAGTTAAATCAGGTACCGAACCTGTATAGAAATTATTAGAGTGAACAGGTTGATAATCTATCGTCTGTCTGTGATGTAATTTATCTCCATCTGGTGTCTTTATATCTCGTTTAGGTCTCGGAGGCTTTCTATTACCACGATGCTAAAACATACAACATATTTATATCTATTTACTCTAGACGGATAAAAACTAATCATTATACATTATACAAATAAAACATAGTTTGTCAGGCAACATAATACACCATCACTCTTCATCTTTCGGTTTAAGAAAATTCGGATACAGATCTATCATTTAATTTTTAAAATGAATAAATTCAACTTCAAAAAAATATGTAAGTGGAAACAAAAAGATGAATTAGAATTTTCGCGATTTTATCTAATGTCTAAGGAGGCCCACTTCCTCAGGGACTCACTTGCCACTGGGCAAGATGACAACCTGGCCAGTCTGCCACTGATAATAATAAAAACTTACCAGTTAATATCTATAAATAATTATAACTTACAAGAGCTAGTTTCTGTATTTCTCTCTCTAATCTATTAATCTCATCTTGTTGTAAATCGTTTATATGTTTAAATTCTGGTGATGGACAACGATCAACACCATGTCTGTATTAAAATATAAACAATACTTACAAATTACTTACTGGTCATTTGTTGGAAAGTATATTCTAATATAGTCTTAAATTTAAATCTTTATACCTATAAATATTGCAACATGAATCTACACAATATATATTAATAAAACTATTATTAAAAGGTACAATCTATATAAATAGATTTCACATTAAAAATAGAGAGAGAAATGAGGTTTTACGTCCACTCGATACAAACTAGGTCATATCGGGATTAACATATGGTTCAATCTTATTTCAATAATTCGTTTGCGTTTAGGGGTCTTTAGCTGTAGAAGAAATCGGAGGACCCGGAGAAAACCCTAAAGGTTGGACAGACAGCCCTACTTCTTGTCACGTACAAGCGGGGAAACCACGCTACTCGACTTAATGACAGACCTTATGATCCAATGAGCAAGCATTATCTATTCGACCACCTAACTCCCCTTTACATTAAAAACCTATTAGCCAAAAATGATTAATTCTCTGGATTGTCACCTTCATTTTTGTCACAGAAAATGCAAATAATGCATTAAAATTTTATAACCAGATTTATTAGATGCAATATTTATAGATTTGAAATGTTAATTTAGTCTCAACAGGTGATTTAGATCAGCCGTATATCAGAATTATTATTTTTTTTTTTCATATTAACATACATATCAATAATATATCATGCAATATATATCATAAAAATATCTGGCAGGGATCAACACAGGATATAAATTAAATACTTCATGCAAACATGTTAATATAAATCAAACTTGTCGAAGGGGTTAAAGCTGAACAATCACATAAACACCACCTCTAAAAATAATTTCTGGCATTTACATATCAATAATAGAGAGAGGTCATTTCGGGACTAACATATGGTTCAATTTTATTTCAACAATTTGCTTGCGCGCAGGTGTCTTTAGCAGTGGAATGAAACTGGAGGACCCAGAGGTTGGACAGGCGACCCTACTCCTTGTCACGTACAACCGGGGAATCAAAACTACTCCAGTTGACAAATATAATCGTCTCTGAGCAACCTGTTTCATTTATTCTCTGAATTACACAGGACAAAGACATGATAAAGACTTAATGAAAACTAGGTCATTTTGGGACTAACACATGGTTTAATTCTATTTCAATAATTTGCTTGCAATTCAGGGTCTAAAAGTGGGAGGAAATAAAAATTAGAGGATCCAGAGAAATACGACAAGGTTGAACAGGCAACACTAAACGCAACCTCGTCACTTGACTCAAAAAGAGAGAGAGAGAGGGTTTAAGTACACTCGACACAAACTAGGTCATTACGGGACTAACATATGGTTCAATTCCATTTCATTAATTTGCTTGCACAAAGGGGTCTTTAGCAGTGGGAGGAAACCGGAGGACTAGCAGAAAACCTGCGAGTTTGGACAAACCCTACACCTCGTCACGTGGAACCGAGGAATCAAAACCACACCGGTTGACTCAATATCTGTTAGATTTATCTGTGTATACTTCCTTCGAACACTCACTCGTTATAGTTTCTACAAATCTAATTATTAATTCTTGTCATTTAAAATACAATAAAAGATATTACTTCATTCGATCTTTGCTGATTTCCTGCTCGTATCTCTTTATATAATATTCTGGTGATTCCTCTCGTAAATTATTTTTCCAGAAATTGGGAGTTTTCTCCGTGGGTAGACTGTGATTACCTTCGGTGATGTATTGATTGGCTAGTCGATTCATCTGGGTTATATGCTCCTGTTAGTGATTAATAAAACAGGTGTGTCTTAAACAGGTGTGTCTCAATCAGGTGTTAATCAGGTGTTTGAATTAAAGATGCATTATGTAAGATTTAGATAAAAATGAAATGAAATGAAATTAGATGAGGTTTAAAGTCCTACTGTTTTGCTCCTATACTGGGCTAATGAAGACAGGAAAATTTTGTCCATGCAGCGTCACTATGGCATACTCGTATATCGAATTCCAACTGCCAAGGTATCTTTTATGTGCATGCCAATGTATACACAGGATCTCAGTTTTTCATCCCATCCGAAGGACTATTTTTTCAAGTGATGGAAGATGTAGCGTAGATTTTTTATTATTGAAGCAATGGAAATAGACAAACAAGACCAAGCCTCGATTATCCATTCCGTCAAATTTTTAAATCTTGCTGGCATTCTAATCCATTTCTTTCTCTGCCATCCAATGGTCTATAGAGTTGATTATGAGTTTGTCATGTTAATAAATGGTGTATAGAGTTGATTATGAGTTTGTCATGTTAATAAATGGTGTATAGAGTTGATTATGAGTTTGTCATGTTAATAAATGTCTAAAATAATAATTAATATAAGATTTTAATTTCAGGCTAAAAGAAAGACCTGCAATAGGCAAATTTAGCTCTGACATAATGCATTTTTAATAAGTTTTATTAATTATTGTGTTAATGGCTTCACAATGTGCCTGAATTAATATTAAAATCACAACACCCAGCTAGTGTCTAACAATTGGGAGAATAGGAGAGATGGCATTTAATATCCACTCAAACTAGGTCATTTTGGGACTAACATATGGTTCAATTTTACTTCAATACTTCACTTATGAGTGGGAGGAAACCGGCAGCCCCTGACAAAAGCAATTAGGTTGGACAGGAAACCCAACTCCTTGTCACGTACAGATGTGGGAGATGAAACCACGCCAATTGATTCAATGACAGATCTTTTGTTCAAATGCTCAAGTGCTCACCCATTCAGCCACCGAACCCGCGAAAATATAATGGTTAAAGTGAGGATATGTCATAAAGCTAATAATCCACGGACAAAATCACTGTAGATCACCAATCATTAAATATCTTCTCATCAAGTTTTTTAAATCCAAATCTAGGAATTCAACATGACAGTGTCTCAGCAACAAAACCGGTCAAATTCTATATAAATTTGTAATCAAAGTAGCAAATGATGAGGTTTTTAAACTTTACAATATAAGTTATATCACACATTCACATCAAATAGATTATAATATATATAACAAATATACTAGCCTATATCAATCATATTTATTTTAATTAACACGGCAAACTGTGCATGCATAAATAGTTTTAGTATATCAACAGCAAAACTCGAACACATTCATGGATATTGTCTCGAATAAAATACAATCTGGGCAGATATGATGTGACAAAGAAATTTGACAACATGGCATCTCATTTCAAGAAAAAATTTGATTTCCATATCTGTCGACATCATGCTGTTTTAAATAATCCCCCATAATGCATTTTATTTCAGTCCAATACCATCCAATCAACACAAAGCTTACAAATCATTTCTGATAAATTCTGGAGGATCATCGTCAACGATTCTTTCATTCTTTCTTCGTTGACTTAGTTCAGCAGCAATTTTAATCACCTAGCAACACGAATAGGGAAAAATCATGAAATATAAGGAAAATAAATCTATTGATTCAAAGGTTTTTAAAATGTATTTTTAAATTATGATATTGTGAAATTAGAGTTACCTACCCTTACTAATCTTTCCTTCAACTGATCTAGTTCGCTGGATTTCTCTTTTTCTAATTTCCGTTTTAAATTTTCTAATGAGTCTTCCTACAAGCAATAAAAATAATATATAGGTATCAAACACTGTCCTTGTAATTATAATATATATCAAATTAAAGATTGTCAGGGGCAACAAGTCTAAATATAAACCAGAATAATTTGTTATTTTGTTATTATATCAACTTTTAGTCTACATATTAATCTAGAGTGTCAATAAATTAATCCAAACCAGAATAATTATATCAACTATTATTCAATGTATTAATTTAGAGTGTGAATAAATTAAACCAAATCAGAATAATTTGTTGTCATTAATCTTACTTATTGCTGAGTTAGTATAATTATAATTAGAAAAGAAGGTGTTTATAAGATTCAGTCAGTTTATAGAAGACCACAAGATATGTTTTAATTCCTTGTAATGACCAAACATGGATTTTTCTTATAAATTTATAACAATATTGCTCCTTTAATTATTCTTTGATAATAAATATTGAATTGAAATGAAATGGGGTTTAACGTCCTACTGGGCTAATAAAGACGAGCATACGCCATATACTGTGCTATAAAGGAAATTTTGCCTGAGCAGCGGCACTATGGTCTACTCTTATATCGAAATCTGCAACCTGAAACTGTTAACAATTAACAGATAATTACCTACCTTATCTTTCTGTGATTTATTATACAGTGATTTCTGTGTTTTAAACTTACCTTATCTTTCTGTGATTTATTATACAGTGATTTCTGTGAATCTAGTTCTTGTTTTAATTCATAAAGATGTGTTCTCAATTCTTCATTACACGCTCGTAGATTAGCCTGAAAATCAATCAATCATATTCAGTTTAAATCATATCAAGCGAGAGAGAGAGAGAGAGAGAGAGAGAGAGAGAGAGAGAGGGTTTAACATACACTCAACAGAAACTAGGTCATTTCAGACTAACATATGGTTCAATTTTATTTCAATAATTCGCTTGCGCGTAGGGGTCTTTAGCAGTGGGAGGAAACCAGAGAACTCAGAGAAAACCCACGAGGCTGGACAGGCGAACCCTACTCCTTGTCACATACAACCAGGGAATCGAAACCACGTCAGATGACTCAATGATAGACCTTATGATACCATGTGCAAGTGCTAACCATTCGGCCATCAAACCCCCCTTCTAGAAATATATGTTTTTTCAGAATCAGGATAAAACAAAGCCATATAAAATCTCAAGACCACTGACTGAGAAAGTGCCTTATGATCTTCCAGTCTATTTTCCTCATCAGTAATGAAGGGTGAAGTGTCTTACCAAGAAAAAGAATTTAGTCATTTGGATGGTACAAAAAAAACTGTTGACCATGAAGCATGTTAAAGATCCCTGACAGTTGGACATCAAAATCCAATTAGGTCGTAGTGTGGCTTTCAGTGTTCCTCGAAACATACAGCATGGCGTAACTATGTCTTTGTTAGCTTGGGTTGGTTGTCAAAATGACCAAAATCCAAAAACTGTTAATCGTTCAAATAGCACAGACACTGTTGTCATTTGTTTAAAAAGTATCACAGAGTTTCAGTATCTTTAAAATAATGAGACCTCCCCATACTTACGAGAGATGAGGTGACCGGAGTTCTATATTTAGAAGATGTTGGACTTCCACCCATAGCAACAGGACTTTCAGCACGAAAACTGGAAAAACAAAAATCATTTCTATATAAAATTAAACAAACTTATTACTATAATGGCATCCTATAGGGCAGTGGTTGTCTACCTATTATTTACCAACGGTACACATTGGAACACGTGAAAAAATAGCAGTACACCTGGCTAAATATACATGAAAAATATATTAATTTTGCAAATGAAAACATGGTAAGTCGGACTGAATACAACCATAGACATAGACTAGTCAGAGACACATAGAATGACTCAAACTAAACAAAGAAAAAACGCAGCTATGAACTTATCTGTAGACACCAGCGAATACTCATTTGGGATCATATGTTGGTTTCTTTTACATTTTCTTATAGTGTGCTGTTCAAAATTTCGCGACAAACTTAGGAAGATCTCACGGTTGAGAATCACTGCTATAGGGCTTTGTCTAAATATTAAGTCCCACTGCAGATTTCGTCAAAGTCGTGGGAAGTAAATAGGGTTAGGGCACGTGATTGTTGACGAGATTGATTGTAGGTTAGGGCTAGGGTTAGCGCTAGTCCTGTTGAAACCACCTATAACTCGACAGAAAACTTTGGATCCAAGCACACATTTTACTACTGCCCAGCCTTGCCTTAAAATATTCAGATTATTTACCTTGCTAAATGAACTTTTCTGGGTGAAATACCCAACACACTAGCACTACGTCGACATTCTTCGTTGATTTCGTTTATAACGGTTCTCTCTGTTCTATCTAGCGTACTATTAACTTCCCGTTCTACACGACATAACTGTTGTTTATCTGATCGTAATTTCTGGATTTCTTCCTCAAGATTCTTCACAGTTTCTTTTAATTCTTCTATCTCTCTCTTATTATCCTGTTAATAAACAAATTAACAATATCTGGAGTTCGTCCTCCCATGAACGTACAATCAGGGGTAATAATCCAGAAATTTAAGGTTCGACATGTGTCCGAGTTATTTGGGAAATAAACATACATTGTAAGCTTCATCTAAATTGGATAAAAATTGTGACCTGTAGAGTGTCCACAAACAAATGTGAACAATGGTAACAGCATGATACGAGTTGATTATTGGCTTGTCATGTGAATAAATGTCTAATAAATACTTTATATAACATATGTTCGTTAAAAAAGTATTAACATTAGTGTTACTTTGCTCTTATTTTTTGAAAAATTTTCACAAGTTGTTTTCCTTTATTTTGTTAATGTAGAATGGTAATGAACTACTCTTTTCATTTTCTTTGTTTTCTTTGTTTCGTTTGAATTTGATTTATCTGTTTAGTTTTTGATTGTTTAATTTTTGTTAATGAAGTTGATTCTTTTAAACTTCGTTTTTTATTTTTGAACTCTACTTGGTGTAGGTGTTCATCAGGTAATACCTCGACTGAGTTCAATATAGAGATTAGCCGGTTGATTTATTGGATATAAACCTTTGAATAATAGCGCCTAACAGGCAGCTGTGTTTAATTGTGTTTAATTATGTTCTCCTGATTTTGATTGTTTCTGTGTGTTTGAAGTAAATGTTTGTGATATGTGCTTAGAAACACTTCATGTGTAATGAAGCGCTATATAAATCGAACAATAATAATAATATCTTTAACAAGTACGGCCATATATATCATCTTAGTTTGAATTAATTACATCACCCATCAGTTACTTTGATTGTTCACAGTATCCAGTCATTTTAAAGTTTAGGGTTGGGTAATGGCCGAATGGTTATTGCTGATGAGATTTAAACCCGGAGAAAACCCATGAGGTAGAGGACAGGCGACCCTACTCCTTGTCACGTACAACCAGGGAATCAAAACCACGCCAGTTGACTCAATGACAGACCTTATGATACAGCCCGCACATGCTAACCATTCGGTCCTCCAACCCCCTCCATTTTCAAAACAAATTAAAGATCATTTTGAAGATATTAAGCACAATATACTAAAACGAGTACATTTAATTGTGAAGGACATTGATCCTGATAACAAACAAAATGATGCTACTTGGAGTTGAAGAATGTTTGCATCGGTTGACATATTCGATAAGATTTAGTCCCAAAGGATCCCCACTCTTCTCGTCTAAAATGATCAATTAATTTTCCATTGTAATAAATAACCGATAACATCACCTCTTTAACTTTATCTTTGATTCGCTCGATTTCTCCGTTTGTCTGTTCTCTCATCATCTCCTTCGCTCGAGCCACAGCGACCATCTTGTCTTTCGAAGCTTGACGATTGTGATTCCGTTGTTCTTCAAGTTCCTGTCATTATAAAACACAACTTCATTGATTACAAAATTTAAAGTAAACTTTTTTTTAGCCAATTCAAGGTAGGCCTACACTAAGATGAACTATATAGAAGATTAATGTCCAATCAACACAAACAAGGTTATTTTGGGTCTAACATTATTTAACAATTTTTTTTTCAATAATTTGCTTGCACGTGTGGGTCTTTAGCAGAGAGAGGAAGCGAGAGGAGTCCAAGAAAACCCACAAGGTTACAAGTACAAGTTCGAAATCAAAACTAAGCCACTTGACTCAATGACAGACCTTATTATATAAAGCGCACAAGTTACACCACTTGACGCTGAAAGAGTAGCAGAGGTTTGACAAACCAATAGTTCCGTGTAGCTGCTGGATCAAAACTCATGCATATGGAGATATAAATAGAAGATGGAGTAGCCCCCCCCCCCCCCCCTTGATGAACAGACGTACAAACAGAATATAAAGTGGTAATTCAATCATAACATTTCCGATATCACAACCCTTTTTGTAAAAGCTGAAACATTATGATGAAATTAACACTATTTCTACAATTCACCCATTAAAAGTGAGAGAGAGAGAGAGATGGGGTTTAACATCCACTCGACACAAACCAGGTCATTTCGGGACTAACATGTGGTTTAATTTTATTTCAATAATTCGCTTGCGCGTAGGGGTCTTTACCAGTGGGAGGAAACCAGAGGACCTGGAGAAAACCCACGAGGTTGGACAGGCGACCCTACTCCTTGTCACGTACAACCAGGGATTCGAAACCGTGCCAGTCGACTCAATGACAGACTTTATGATACAGCGCGCACGCTAACCATTCAGCCCTCCAACCCCCCCTGACCCATTAAATGTTAGGCAAACAGTAACACACAGGGACTTTTCAAATAGCACACAGTAATACTATAATACTGATCATGCGTGTTCTCACAGTAGTAAAATACCAATCCTCTGTTTTCCCACTAACAGTAGAAAATATTGATGATGTCACAAATACCTGATAACAAGCGTTAATAAATCTCATTCTAATATCACGTAAATTATTATCCTCCATTTTAATATCACGTAAATTATCGTCCTCCATTCTTATTACATCAACATCAGGATATTATCTGTCTATAATCACACACCTAATATCTTACTACCACCATGTGATAATATACTAATTGTATTTACAAATCATACTCAAGATACTGGACAATGATCCGGGGTGAAATCAAATAATCCAGATAAGATGAAAGGATGAATCACCTTAGAACAATCAGATACACAGATCGTGAGCGAAAACAAATATATTATAACATCACAGATGAAAACAGGTTGTTTACAAATATTTCCGATACATGTATAAAAACATTATCCATGATTTAATTAGATATAATTTTATAATCATAAGTTCATATTTTGTCACGTGTATAGTTCACAATCTAGCTGGTTAATGACTGTCACTTATAGAATTTATAATCCTTTTAGATCACAGATAATCCACCATGTTATCTCGTAGGCCTACATATATAATCAGATCATTAATGATTTCACTTTCTGTCAGGTTGTAATAATATAATACAGGACAGACGATGATTTAATCCAAGGACAATATAGAGAGAAGATTTATAAGTACAAACTTCCATCCATGAATGTTCAAAGTAAGAAAGACTACATACACTAAGATATCTTTCACTATTCAAACAAGAGTATATTCAATGAAATATAACTTTATAAACATTTAATCTTGATTTAAATAATTCCTGTGAAGGGTCAACACTAGAAATATAAGAGACCTTATCTATCGTTAAACTATTAATGATTTCTCCTGTTACATAATCTTTATCGTAATACACTTGATATATAAAACACCTTTAAACCCTACACCCTATACAATAACTCCTTTAATTTCATAGACAAGTATATTATATCAAAATACACCAAGATTTTAAGCCCTCCATGTACTGATGCTCCTTCAAAAAACACTTGTCGCTAATCAGATATTTGTTAATGATTCCCCTCTTAACATCACAAGACCAATATATCACAATACACCGAGGTTTAATCCCAGTAATGTAAACACCAATAAAAAAAGGTATAAGATAAGTTCAGTTATTGTAATTAAGTTTTGGTTAATATTAACATCTGTATCACAATACATCAAGCCTTAAGCCCTGTATACACCTAGTAATGTACACAATAAAAAAAACCCATAAAATATAACTGGCTCGACTATCAAAAGTACAGCACACTGTTCAAGGATTAAGCCTTACATACACTGATGTACCATACAAAAACCCACATCAAATATATCTGACTGCTCTACCATCAAAAGTACACCACAACACTGACTGTGTAACACAATACACCAAATTTACACTCTGGATTTAACTGGCGTACATACACTATACACAAAATATGATCCTCCCCTTCACAAAATATGATCCTTCCTCTGACAAAATACAATGTTTCCCCTCACAAAACATGATCCTTTCCCTGACAGAATATGATCCTTCCCCTGACAAAATATGATCCTTCCCCTCACAGAATATGATCCTTCCCCTGACAAAATATGATCCTCCCCCTCACAAAATATGATCCTTCCTCTGACAAAATACAATCTTTCCCCTCACAAAATATGATCCTTTCCCTGACAGAATATGATCCTTCCCCTGACAAAATATGATCCTTCTCCTCACAAAATATGATCCTTCCTCTGACAAAATACAATCTTTCCCCTCACAAAATATGATCCTTTCCCTGACAAAATATGATCCTTTCCCTGACAAAATATGATCCTTCTTCTCACAAAATATGATCCTTCTTCTCACAGAATATGATCCTTCCCCTGATAATAGTGCAGTATAACAATAACTGAGCATGACAATACACTAACTATATCAGTTGAGACAAGTTATTTAATGTTATCAGTTTCTAGGTTGTCGTTATAATCAGCAACAAAAGATCAAATGAATGAAAGGGGAGAAGTGAGTTTATAATAAATTATTACCCCATTATCTAGCAAATAAAGTCGTCAAATTCTCTTTGTACTTTTATAAATCTTTATGTCAACACCTGAACCTTACATAAATGAACACAATGACTTTATTTCTACGGGGCACATGTTGAATAATGTTAACAAATCGTTACTGAATTCATTATAGAAAGAACATCAACATTAACTCCGGTCTTATTATATTCACGAGAATACAAAGATTTTATTTACAATCCCAGGTCAATGTGGCTTCAACAAAAGGTATATACCGAACGACCGATATGTGATTACATAAGAATATGAAAAGGCAATTCATTAAAATCAAACTATGAAATAACGATAGCCTAATCTGGTTTTACGGTATAAAATTGTTATAAGGGCGACTATTTGGAAAGGTAGATACTTATATTAGAAATGGATCGAATGAAATGGGGTTTTATTAAGTCCATCTTTTCTACACTAACTGGACTAATGAAGACAGGTATACATCATACAGTGTGCTATGAGGGTATACATCATACAGTGCGCTATGGGGGTATACATCATACAGTGTGCTATGGGGGTATACACGATACAATGTGCTATGGGGGTATACACCATACAGTGTGCTAGGAGGGTATACACCATACAGTGTGCTATGAGGGTATACACCATACAGTGTGCTAGGAGGGTATACATCATACAGTGTGCTATGAGGGTATACACCATACAGTGTGCTAGGAGGGTATACATCATACAGTGTGCTATGAGGGTATACACCATACAGTGTGCTATGAGGGTATACACCATACAGTGTGCTATGAGGGTATACACCATACAGTGTGCTATGAGGGTATACACCATACAGTGTGCTATGAGGGTATACATCATACAGTGTGCTATGAGGGTATACATCATACAGAGTGCTATGAGGGTATGCCCCATACAGTGTGCTATGAGGGTATACACCATACAGTGTGCTATGAGGGTATACATCATACAGTGTGCTATGAGGGTATACACCATACAGTGTGCTATGGGGGTATACACGATACAGTGTGCTATGCGGGTATACACCATACAGTGTGCTATGAGGGTATACACCATACAGTGTGCTATGAGGGTATACACCATACAGTGTGCTATGAGTGTATACATCATACAGTGTGCTATGAAGGTATACACGATACAGTGTGCTATGAGGGTATACATCATACAGTGTGCTATGGGGGTATACACGATACAGTGTGCTATGAGGGTATACATCATACAGTGTGCTATGGGGGTATACACGATACAGTGTGCTATGAGGGTATACACCATACAGTGTGCTATGAGGATAATATTGAGTGAACAGTAGCAATTTCGTCTACTCTTCATCTTATACCAACTGCCAAGGGTTCTTTAACACGCACACAACATGTACACAGGATCTCATCCAAATTATTACACCCTATGTCTGGCCTACCACTAACAAGAGGAAACCCAATCTGGTTAAAACACAGATCCCATTTCATTTTGTTTTTATAGTTCAAAATTTCGTTTTACTTCTCTTTACTACACTTGGATCTGGAAGAGTTGTTATTTAACTTGTGATTTGAATGGTGTCAGGGATAAGCCAATGAAACGGTCTGTTACTGCAGGCTTTAGGCATGTTTTTCACGGAACTGTGGGTAATCCACTAGTAACATCAATGCTGATTGGTTAATCCAATGTCTGACGTCATAGGGTCATAAGTCGATCTTTTGACCCCTGATGTGACCTATGGCTATAACTTGTCAGATCTTCATGTAGTGTAGGCCATCGAAAGTATAAAAAACCGAAACGAATATAGATCTGTGTTTTAATCAGATTGGAGGAAACCACACCACTTGCCTCAATATCAGTCCTTAAACCACTAGACCACCCATTACAAGGGGGGTTGGATGGCCGAATGGTTAGCGTGTGTATCATAAGGTCTGTCACAGAGTCAAGTGACCTGGTTTCAATTCTCCACTTGCATGTGAAAAAGAGTGGGGTCACCTCTTCAACCTCG